GCAGGCGTACTTCAATAAAATCTAATAAATCAAGATTTCACGCAGCTTCTAACTCGCACTTGTCTTCTCGCGTGTTCTCTCCCGTGCGTGCAGCTTCCCCAAGGGCGGAGTCAGCTTGACCTAATTACACTCGATTGGCTGCTCACCTGCGCAGCACAGACCTAGAGCTCAAAATAAAATTAAAGTTTTACATGTGATTATTTACTTCCCATCTTACATTGTAAGTAATCCATATCTAATGGGAAATATATATACATTTAATCTTTTATCCTATAATTTCCTTTTACGTTACTTAGTTATTTAGCTTAACTGTATTCATAATTGACTCAGACTACACATATCTTTGAGCCTGGGTTACATATTACTTTACAACCTCGGCCAGCCACATATTATGAGGTAGTTCTCACTATAAATGAGTTTATGGCTGCAAGTTGATAATTGGTTCTTGTTCTTAAAATCAACATTTACATTAGTTTATGGCCATGAACTACATATGTTCAATAATATGCTAAATGAATAGCATGATATTGTCTTTTCTGGTGAACTACAGTGAGAAAGACACAAACTCCAGAAACAGTGCGTTTGTACTGTTGGTATGTTAAACTGGCACACTTAAAGTCTGCTAAATTGTTTTGTGCTTAATGCACTTTAATTGTGAGGAAATAGTGCTGAAGTCCAACTAAAGATATACTGAAGTATATTTGAGTGTGCTATTGCAAGTAAACTTTAGTCGCACTTAAATTTCTTGCATTTAAAGATCCATATTATTCAAAGATCCCACAATCCTCATCAGTAGTGGTATTAAAACACATTTTAGGCTTAATATTAAGAAATGTGCATTGTGCACAAGTAGTACTCCAAACAAAGTTTAGTTATAATTTTTATATCAGTCTCAAGCGATATGTCAGACAGTATATATGTTTTAATAGATTTAAACTATACTTAGTATGAAATAAATGTATTTTAAATATATTACTTTATAGGGTGTAAATCGCTGAACAGTGAGTTCAGATTATCTCCAAAACATTTAACAACAGTTTTAAATTACAAAAACACTGAGCAATTAAACCCAGCTTCAATACAGCTGTAAAAACAGAACAAATACCATTCACATTGTCAGTGAGTAACTCATTCACATATCATGACTTGTCACACAACTTTTCCATGTTGGCATCTGCATTTTGCTACTAGCAAGTAACAGATGGATTTAATCTAAAGTACAGTAGAGTTGGATTGGACTCACAGCCTCACAGACGTCAGTAACAAGTGATACGGGAAAACCTTTCCTCCAAAAGTTAATAAGCTTATTTATTTTGCTAACTATGCATTGATTATATGGTTGGCTGCATTCTTCTATTATTAGTTATTACCCCTCTGCTCTCCTACCATTTGAGGACCAGTGCTTTAGGGCTTCTTTTTCTAAATTAATTTTTATTACACACTGCCGTTTCAACAGTAGAAGCAATGTCACAAACTCCACAAGTGCTTTATTTTGTCCCTTTAACAGATGGAAATTCCATACAAAAAGATGGCACACATTCCCGTGTACACTGTGGGATTTCACAGCAGTGCGAAGAGTCACAAGAGTGAAGTCTATAAGTGAGTAAATATATACAGCCACATTCCACCCCGTCTATGCTGGCCAGCAATTAGCTTTGAAATTACATTAGTAACAAAGTCACAGCTTTGAACTTACCGATAACATTTTTCCAACATCAACAAAAAGCCAGAAGCTGTATCTGACATTATGCTTATTTACACAGACTGTTGCTCAAAGGTGACATATGCATTTACAAGACAATTGCATAATGTACATTGTAGTCAAATTGACCTCGTTTCTTGTTTTGATGAACTTTGCACTGTTATTAAACGGAACCGAATCTTTATAGAGATGCTTTGAGTTTGTTTCATAGCTGGTGAACTTTGTGACATTCACACAGTTAATGAACTAAATTAAATCAACACTGAACTAAATTGAGCTGAATAGAGCCACTGTTGTCTGTAGAGCTGCACATCTGAAACTGAATTAATTTCATAGTTGAGGAATTTTTCAGCGCAGTTATTTTCCTGTTTAATAACGTTTGAAGCAATCTGTATTGTATAAAGTGCATTATACCATGGTCTGTCTAAATACTGGATTCTGATTGGCTGGCAGGTATGCATTAAAACTAGTTGGAATGAACAATTCTGAATCTGAACAGGATCAGAACTTTGTACAGCCCCCATGTGACTTTCTGTTCAAAATGAATGATGGTTTGTCATCTGTTGTTTGTTTTAAACCATACAATTCTGGCTTATATGTTAGAGAAAGGTAAAAATGCTGACTGTTTTGTTGCAGGAATTGTTGATTATAAGTGTATTTCACTGAAAAAAGAACATGGTCCCTTTAAAAGAATGTTTACATTACTAAAATGATTGGGTAATCTTTTAAAGTTCAGTTTGACTTTTTTTCTGGGATATTTTTGACAAGTTGTTTCAAAGAGACTTGTTTAACTTAATTGTTTTGTTCTTTATAATCTGGATCTTGAGGTGTACAGGTGTGCCAGAGGTCTTTTCTCCCTAGAGGTGGCTTTGATTTACATCTGAGTAAAACCAGATTAAAGTTCTGACACATTGGTTGAAAAAGATGGCTGGCTTTGGTTCATGCGGTTCTTGTCTTTGCTCCACATGATTTGTTGAGGCCCACAACAGAAACATATGCCGGAGGTAAATCACAGTGGTGTGGTCCTGTCAAACCCAACACAAAACCCTGTCGTTACTGTATATGAAAACAAGTTCTGGAAATGTGCCGGCCAATTATAAAGACAAACCGGAAAAAAAAATCCTCTCTGGCACTCTGAAATACTTGAGAATATTTATAAAAAGGGTGGATATGGTGCTCCTGTATGTAGTATTGTATTTCTGTAATTATTAGCAATGAAACCTGTTAGCAGTTTAATCTCTTCTTGTCTTAGCGATTGGGGATTTAGAGAATTAAACTAGTAGAACTTATTTTCTCCATAAAGGGACCAGAATTCAATCAATAAGTTGGAAAGTAACTTTTTTTAGGATTACATGTTATGTGTCCACTATATATTATACATTTGATTCAGTTAATGCAAAGTACCATTGGCAGTTGTGGCAAAAAATTTTCGTACCTTCCTTACATATGGTGTAGATGACATTACTTTGGTATTATATTTGCTAGTTAATAGACTAGTATTCCTTCTCACATGCGCATAATAATGTACGCATGCAAAAGCTGGCATTGACACACATACACAGAGAGAGAGAGAGAGAGAGAGAGAGAAAGCGGGATAATGCATGGCTAGCTGTGGGGTGGTTCTTGGCCTCCACGTCGTGCATTAAAATCGTTTAATGCACAGCTAGCCATGAATGCATTATCCCTTACAGTCAACTGGAGTGCTGGCATGATACAAAAGTTAAACCGACGTTAGAAAATGCTAAAGGTCTGTCTGTTTGTCTGCAGGTCTTTGTGCTCTCTCTCCAGACACTCTGCATGTGGAGGAAGAGTTTCCCCACCTGTACGCCGCAGGCGTGTGCTCGGACTGCACAAAGTTTGTGGCCGATGTCATTTCCTCCAGTCGCAGGAGCTTGGACATCATCAACAACACACCCAAACGCAATAAAAGGACGACCTCGACACATCCACATCCCACATCACAACCACACGCTTTCTGTAGAGATGTGGATCACATGTGAATATCTCCCCTCCTGCACTATGTACATCTAACCACCACATGTATAGATCAAGGGACACAATGCTTGAAGGCTAACGAAGAAAGACAATCCTTTTGCATCTTTTCTTTGATTTTAGCTTGAGTATAATGCTATATAACTGAGCCAGGACCGTCCATGCTTATACAGTACATCTGTAAATGCATATTTCTCATATCTAATAGCAAATGTATTTTTTTGCTTTGGGATTTAGCTCTATTTAGGGTGATGTAATTACCTTGGGACTGAGTCAGGCTGGTTTGTGAAAGTGAAGGTCAGAATGAAGCAGATAATAGTATCTAATTCTGGGTAGACTAATGAAGTGGCCTTCTGATCCACATGTTTAACTCACTCTTATTTTGTAAGATCTGCAATAAAACCAATGCCACAAAACGACTGCTCTCTCCAGTATGTGATGTTTCCACACAAGGGCCACATGTGGGTGCCATACTCTTATTGTGTGATTATCATAATATATATTATGTGTGTGTGTGTGTGTTTTTTTTAAAGACTATATGGATAAATATAATTATATTAAAACTTGCCAAGAACATCTTTGGGAAACCTTTTACACCAAAATTATAAGAAAAAAACCCACTTATATTTAAAACATATATTTTGCATAAAGAAAATGAAATACTTTTATGATGAAGATGACTTAAGTTGTATGCTAACCTGCACACAAACACAAGTGATGAAAAGCTTTTGCCAAATGGCAGCTGTAATGAGGTAAAAATCTGTACATGGGCTTCATTTAAAAGCTGAGGTGACCCATTTAGAGTATGAGGAACACTTTAGAGCAGATGAGAAGAGTCAACATTATTTACAGCTGACACATATGTGCTATATTGATTTACCAAACATTTGACTTCAATGCAGTAAAGTTTAATTACAGATAAAATGGATAGTAATCATGATTTGCCTTTAGAATTATTTAAATTTTTTGCTAATTAAATATGTAATTATATCTATCTATCTATCTATCTATCTATATCTATATCTTCGTTTTATTGAACACTAGTGTATGTTATCATTCAGCGTGGTGTCCTTTTACAAAATAAAAAATAAAAAAATTAAAATTAAAAAAAAATCTTCCCAGCAAAAGTAAAATGCACAAAATAAATAAAGTCCTTTAATAAGGCCGTTACAGTGATTTCACCAGCGTAAAGTTAACTTTAGTGAAATTACAGCACAGCAGAGGGGCTTGTTGCCGTTTTTTGTGGGGAGGGAAGAAAAATAGTTTTAATCCTCGCCCATCTCATGAATAATTAAGTACATACACATCTTATGGTTATCTTCGCCGTCCGATCTGAGGATGTTTTTAATTTGAAAGTTTTTATCGTGCAGCGATCACAGATTCAAGCCGCTGCAGAAATACACCGATGTTTTAACTTCTTTAATAGACACAAAATCTGTTTCTGTTCCTTCCTCTGGGGAAATGCGCGTGTGAGTGGGTGTGTCGAGCGAGTTTAAACTTTAGGATGAGTTAAAGTTTGATCATGGCCGTATGGACCCGCCCGGAGAAACAGGGTCATCTGGACCTGCTGCTGAGTGACCGCTGGGTCCGGGTCACCGCGGAGCTCACGCGGGACACGCTCACCCTGACGGCGGAGGGCGAACCCGGCGGGCCCGCGGGACACTCCGAGCACAGCTCTCAGTTAAGAAACGGCGTTTCCGGTGGCAACGAACAGAACCGAGATGTTTTTCAGAGCCGCGGGCAATACGACAGACAACGGGTCAACGGGTCCGACTCGGAGTCCAGTGGTTATTGTGACCCGGATGGGGTTCGGAGGGTTCGGATAGTCAAGCAGGAGTCCGGCGGGCTGGGGATCAGTATTAAAGGGGGACGGGAGAACCGTATGCCCATCCTCATATCGAAGATCTTCCCTGGTTTAGCGGCGGATCAGAGTCGAGCCCTGCGGGTCGGCGACGCGATCCTGTCCGTCAACAGCAGCGACCTCCGCGACGCCACGCACGACGCGGCGGTGCAGGCGCTGAAGAAGGCCGGGAAGGAGGTGACGCTGGAGGGTAAGCCGATCACTCGAGCCGCGGGGATTCTGCAGGCCCGCACGGAGCGCTGAACTTCTCACATCAACTAAACAGAGTTTTTATCATTGATAATGACACAAAGGTCAGAACTTTTAGTCTGGCACGATGAAGCGAGACTGAATAAGTTTATAATGTACTTTAGTTATTGTTTCGTTGAGTTTAGACCGTTTTCATGTCAGTAAACAAGTTCATTTGACATTTGCACTTTTTAAATATAATTGGGGTTTATAAGTGTGAATTACATTAACATTTAAAAATCACAACCGAAGTTTGGATATAAGATTGATAGTGCATGAATCTAGGTCTTTTCTGATAATAATACGATAATTTATTTTGCTCTAACAGCATATGTTCATTAATGTTTCTCCAAGCGCCAGAAGTGAATGTGTGGGAATGGGATACAGAGAGATGGAGGAGGAGAGACAGAGACTTTATTGCTGTAACGTTACTTTCTTGGCTAGCAAGACAGTTTAGTTTGGCAAGGCCCACTTTCTATGATATAATCAATTCCCAGTTAACAAAATCAAATACCGCCCACCTTTCTTTCTTTGTTTGTTTGTTTCTTTCTTTCTTTCTTTCTTTCTTTCTTTCTTTCTTTCTTTCTTTCTTTCTTTCTTTCTTTCTTTCTTTCTTTCTTTCTTTCTTTCTTTCTTTCTTTCTTTCTTTCTTTCTTTCTTTCTTTCTTTCTTTCTTTCTTTCTTTCTTTCTTTCTTTCTTTCTTTCTTTCTTTCTTTCTTTCTTTCTTTTCTTGATTGATTGATGGAAACTATGGATGCACCGATAGGATTTTTTTTTGGGCTGATATCGATTTGAACAAACAACTATTGGCCGATTCTGATACCGATATCAACTGCATAAAGCAGGGCTTAAAAAAATCGATTGGTTCACTCCGAGCAAAATCGGTATTTGAACGTTTCTGTTCCTGCGTTCCTCTGTATTATTACGTTCCGATTTTAGTAGAAAAAATACTGGTTAATAACGTTATTTTTAAAACTTTTTCTTTGCCGATAATAATAAAGTACAGTGCTTTTTTTTACTCAAAAAGAAAAAAAAATCACGAAGAGAGTCTTGATCTGGTACTTGCGCTTAGTCATAGCCAATACAGCATCACCTTTTCTAGATTTTGACCAAATGTATTAAACAAAAGAAAAAACTGTCAACGCTTTAAAGACATTAAAGTAGGCGTTCAAGATATTTATAAATGTTTGCAGCATGGATAAAAAAAAAAAACGCTACTTCTATAAGCCTTTTGAGAGGAAAAACAGCCTAAATTAGTAGGCTGTACGTCACATTTTATTATTACATTCAGAAATAATGTAGGCTAAAATACTGGTAAATAAAGCAAAATGCTTACAAACATTACAAACACAATTAGGCTATTTTAGATTCCTTCTCTCCACAACAAATCCTCTAAAGTTGTATTTAGGCTAAATATAAACGTCAAGCCAAAACAAATTCTTAAAGGTGCCATAGAATGCATTGATACAATATATTAGAGGGGTCATATGATGTTGCTAAAAAGAACATTATTTTGTGTATTTGGTGTAATGAAATGTTTATGCGGTTTAAAGTTAAAAAACACATTATTTTCCACATACTGTACATTATTGTTTCTCCTCTATGCCCCGCCTTTCTGAAACGCGTCGA